GAATCCGGCAGTCGAGTTTTTGCTTGGCGACAAGGGCACTGCAGTGAACATGATATAAAACCACCCAGCAACAGCGTGCTATGCTGCGCAGGTACGCTCTGCACCACTGCTTTATCCTCTATTCTTCTCAATCGAGTTGCCCAAGATGAAGGTCACGTCTGCTTTGATGCTACTGCCCGCGGTGGCGAGCGCCGCCCACTTCCGTAAGGATCAGTATGATTCCGGAGAGGTTCACCAGAGGATCATGGACCTCAAGAACGCAAGTCACGCCTTCCAACTGCCCCGAATTGTCTTGTGACACAATGACTAATATCCTTACAGTCTCAATGGGACGCTCTTGAAGCTGCTGGCGCTCTCAACTCCAGCCAGTGGCCTTCATGGGCAACCTGGGACAAGCTCGACCCCAAGATCAAGGAGGACAAGCTTGCGTGCGGCAAGTGTGGCACCGCTGTCGCTGAGAAGGGCAACCCTATGCAGACGTTCCGCTGCAAGAACGTGAGTTGTGTTACTTTGTCTTATTTAAGGGGCTCATTGCCTCTGGCAATGACTTAAGCTAATATACAGTAGATGGACCTGTACGACTTCCTCAACCACAACGACATGGGCGGTGGCGAGGCCGACCCGAGGTTCCCCAACCGACGTGGTTCCTCCATTTGGGGCTGGGTTGCCCCCGACGGCCGCCAGATTGCCCTCATCGGCCAGCACACCGGAACTGCTTTTGTCGAGGTCTCTGACAAGGGAAAGCTGACCTACCTCGGCCGTCTGCCCTCGCAGGACCCTATCGGCTCCTCGTGGCGCGAGATCCGTGTGCTGAAGGACTTCGCCATCATTGGCTCTGAGGCGGTTGGCCACAACATCCAGATTTTTGACCTCAAGAAGGTCGCTGCCATCGACCCGGCAAAGCCCATCAAGTTTGACCCTAAGACCGACCTTGTCGGCCTGTTCGACGACCTCCCCATCGGTCGTGCTCACAACGTTGTCATCGATTGGGACAACGAGTATGCCATCGCCGTCGGTGCCCAGCCTCGTAACCAGACCTGTGCGGCTGGTCTAGAGTACATCGATCTTTCCGATCCCGCCAACCCGACCAAGCCCGGTTGCGCCAGCTCTGACGGCTACACTCACGACGCTCAGTGCGTGACCTACAACGGCCCCGACACTCGCTTCAAGGGCCGCAACATTTGCGTCGCCTACAATGAGGACAGCGTCACCATCTGGGACTCGACCGACAAGGCCAACTCGGAGATGCTTGGCCGCTTGGCGTACCCTGGCGCCACCTACACCCACCAGGGTTGGTGGACGGAGCGCAACTGGCACCAGTTTGTGCTCTTCAACGACGAGCTTGACGAGTTCGAGGGCGTCGGTGAGGCTGCCGACGGCATTCCCATCACCCACATTGCCGACCTAAGTGACCTCCGCAACCCCAAGTACACCGGCTTCTTCAAGAACACCGATCACGTTGGTATTGACCACAACCTCTACATCGAGGATGGCATCATGTTCCAGTCAAACTACGGCGCCGGTGTCTGGGTCACCGATGTCAGCTCCATCTCCACGCACCCCGACGGCAGCAAGGTCGAGAAGCTCGCCTTCTTCGACATGCACCCCGAGGACGATGCCGCTGGTGGTTCGCTCGAGTTCGTTGGCACCTGGGGCAACTTCCAGTTCCCTTCTGGCTACATTGTCGTCAACACGTTTGAGCGCGGTGCCTACGTCCTGCGCGTGGCCAGCGGTCCTGGTCGCGACGGCGGCAAGGGTTTTGGTGGCAAGTCGGAGTAGAGTCGTAACGACAGGAAATGATCTACGAATAATGGCGTCTAATATCAGGACAAATGTAAATAAGTCACCAGGGGTACATGCACCCATGAACAAAAAGCAACAGCAATACTACATGCTGCACTTTGCAGTCCACCACATGCGAAAGTTCTCCCGTAATCGTACGAATATGACTGTCTCATGCCCTTTGATAACTTTGCATGGTTCAAAGCGACACACCAACCTGACCGGGGATGATAAACGTCCAAAATCTATATCGCGCGAGGCACATTTGAAGAACGCACTCCTAAAATTGAATATTGATAGCGGATCAACAAAGGACTCGACAGTTTCCATTCGTTTCCACGAGTCTTCACTTCGCCTGTCTCCGTCTGCAAAACTGTTGCATTTGACATGACACGGTTGTACTGCACTTTGGTCCTCAACAAGTCATCCTACATCTCATATTTTGCCTAGTCGATCCAACCCACCGCAGTTTTGTTACTCCTCTTTCAAATCGGAGCATTGATTTGGATAGAGTTCAACATGATTGGTGAAATGGCGAAGGCATCCCTAGGGTTTATTCTCTATCTATGATAGCAAGGAAGATATCAGGGACATGGGGTTATTTGAGACATTGGAGTGCAACGGATTGATACTGCAAGTATCGGGCGTACATTTATCTTGCAAGGCTTTGAACGCTGTATGCCTATTTTCGACTCTTTCTTGTCTTCGGGCCTCGAGATACACAAGTGAAGTACTCGATCCCGCAAAGATTACACCACAGCCTTGAGATGCCAGCCACCCGTGACGCCCCGCGCGACAATGAATGCTATCGAGGTTGCCACGTAGAAGCCACCAGTAAGCAAGATCAAGCCTCTGTAGGATCCAACATTCGCCTCCAGAATGGCGCCTGCAATGGGAATACCGGTCAAACCGGCAAAGCTCGATACACAGAAAGCTGTGCCGCTACGCTTACCCAGATCCTTTGTCTCGGAAACACGACCAATGCAGACTGGAGTCAGACTGATGGCGGCGCCGGACCAGAACCCGAAAAGAACTGTGAAAGCCTGAATCATAGCCTCGTTACTTCCCGAGTTAAACCATAAACTGTAAATGATGATCGTGCATACGATCACTGTGATGGACATGATGTTGAATGCGCCATAGCTGTCGGCAACATATCCAGGGAGCGCTCGGCCGAGGACGGCGCCTGCGTTGAGTAGGGTGTTGAGAAGATAGGCGGCCTGGGCCCCCATGCCCGCATGGATTGCATACGATGAGATGTAGGTGTAGGGAACAAAGCAGGCAAACTCGGCACAGAAGACGGCCAGTGTTGTCACGCCGAATTTTGGATCCCGCAGTGCCTTGAGATCAATCGACGAACCTCCCGATCGGTTTGTTGGCAATCTTTTCTTGATGAGAAAGCATGCGGCCAGACACGAAGCTGTACAGATGAAACCGATGATGCGTATGGACCATCCAAATCCAATACGGGGCGCAGAGTAAAGAATGATCAAGGGAAAGGCAATTCCTCCAAATCCCCCTGCTGTGCAGGCGATGCCTGTGGCGAGGGCTCGCCGCTCATCGAACCAGTGCCCTATGGCTGCGATACTGGGATAGAAGAGAAGCGATGCTGAGATTTCACCAAGGACACCGAATGATAGGATAAACTGGTAGTATTCTGTGCCGGTCAACTTGTGCCATGATGAGTCGAACTTATAAGGAGGCGCGCTTACTCATCGACAAGCTCAGGGCCATAACTGAGGCTACGATGCCGATGCTTCCCGGAATGGTCAACACGCCAACATTGTGTGCGTCAAAAAGCGGACCTGTATGGGAGCGAGTTAACAGATCACTTGTTGAATTCATATACGTGCATTTTTTCTCCTTTTGAGGTAACTTACCGACTTGAGCCCCACAAAAGTAGAGCAAAAATGCGTAGATGCTGAAGATCCAGCCACTAGCCGACTGTGATATGTGTGACAGCTGATTTTCGGACACGTAGGCGTGAAGCACGGCCATGGTGTTGAGCAGCCCCATGGAGGGTATCATGGCGCACCAGGCGCCAAGCACAACTAGCCATGCGTCCAGACCACCCTCGGGATAGGCCAATTCCTCGTCTCCCGATTCTTGTAAATGGCCTGTCATTTCTATTAGCTAACGGTCTGAAGGTACTTATGTAGTGAGGTCCAGCCCCCGAATCCAGGCAGATGTACCTTCTGGGCTTGAGCCGGTATCTGGCTTCATTGCCCCTGATTGCTGATCCTGAACCGTCATTTGAGTTTGAGTCCTTACTTTAGATTGATGTCTACCCTCGAAGATTTCTAAAAAGACGCAGGGCACTGATCATGTTTTATACGTGCCAAATACTGAGATGGTCGATTGAGTTTTCCGCGTTGTTTCCTTCTGGTCTGTATTCAACAGACCGCCAGTCGTACATGACAAATCTCGGCAGAGAGCTACTTGAATACACGTCATATTGGTCGAATGGATCCAGTCAACGGCTTTAAAGCGCAGGCGAACATGCTACACAGAACATTTAGCCCGACTTGAGGAGCGCCGAAAGAATCGGGTTCGCAGGTGAGCCT